GGGAATGAGTGTGTTTGAGATGGCAAGGTTGGCACAGGATAGAACGGCGTCTAGGGCTCTTGTCCATAGGGTCGCTATGAGTCGCAAGCGTCTTGATGGCACATAACAACAGTTCCATGTGTAACTAAGCTGACGACATCTTTTTTATCCAGCCATGGAAGCATGGTGGATATGTTCCTGAGCACTTTCTAGTACACCAATTAAAGTTGGAAAGCTCAAGAAAGCTGGTTTTTTTCCTTGCATTTATATTTTGAAATCACAGACCTATTCATGTAGAATGTCAACATGAAAAATCTGTAATGCATGAGATCATAACAAAAAAGGTTTATACTTAAGGGAAAATATTGGTAGATATAAAGAATAGAGAAGAAAAGATAAAATATATATTATTGTTGTTGCTATGTGCCGTCAAGTCACCTGAGACTCATAGCGACCCTATGTACAACAGCTCTGAAGCATGCCCTGTTCTGAGCATGCCTCATGGACTTCAATACACCTACCCTCATTGTTCCAGTTATTGTATAAATCCATCTCATCTGGAACCTTCCTTTCCTGTGTTCTCGCTCCACCTATTCTGCTGAAAATTATCCATAAATGACTGGAACAACACATCAACAGAGAACTGCCAGATGTGCAGGCTGGATTTAGAAGAGGTTGTGGTACTAGAGATATTATATATAGCTAATGTTAGATGATGAAAAGCACCCAAGTGTCGAGGACTCTCCTTCATAGGGTCGTTATGAGTCGCCTGCGACTCGATGGCACTTAACAACAATAACATCAAGAGAGAGAGAGAGAGAGAGAGAGAGAGAGATCAGCTGGCCCAGTGAAGAGAAAACGGTGTGACCAAGACAAAGGTGGGTGACTTTTAGTTTGTGGCCCTCGGGCCAGTCTTTCATTGTTTTTGTTCAGACATTCCTCTAGGTCATATCGCCCTGGTGTACAAGTTGCCATCCAGCGGCGGTCACTTGTGGTTGCTGTGAGGCTGAACACTGTGACATGGATGTGTCAAATGCGTTAATGGTTGGCTACCCAGTGCAGACTGAGAGTGGGGGGGGGGAGCTCCCCGATGAAAACAAGTTTGGAAGGAGGAGTGGCATCCACTTCCATAATAGCTTGCCTCCGGAAACCCTATGAATCTGGAGAGAGGATGAAAGGCACCCAAGCATCGAGGACTCTCCTTCATAGGGTCGCTATGAGTCGCCTGCGACTCGACGGCACTCAACAACAACGTTAGATGGATCTCTGCTGGAAGCAGAGAATACCAGACCAATGTCTATCTGTTTCATTAATTATGCAAAGGAATTTGGCTGTGTGGATCATAGCAAACTGTGACTAATTCTGGGAAGAATGGGAATCCCAGAACCCTTGATTGTGCTTATGCAAAACCTATGCTTGGACCAAAAGGCAGTTATTAGACAGAGCAAGGAAACATTACATGGTTTAAAAATAGGGAAGGGTTTATGTCGGAGATGTGTCCTATCTCCATACATTTTCAACCTACATGCAGAACCGATCATCTGGGGGGCTGGGCTTCATGAGGAGAAATGTGTCATCAGGACTGGAGGAGGACTCATCAACATCCTGCGTTATGCAGATGTCACAACCCTGTTTGCTGAAACTGAGGAGGACCTGAAGCACTTTCTGCAGAAGGTCAAGGACTACAGCTTTCAATATGGATCGAAGCTCAACATCAAGAAAACAAAGATTCTCACCCTGAGCCAATTATTAGCATCATGATAGATGAAGAGATTGAAATTGTTAACAGCTGCAATTTGCTTGGCTCCACAATCAACACTCTTGGTACCAGCAGCCAGGAAATCAAAAGACAAATTGTGTTGAAAAAGTCTGCTGTCAGGGACATCTCTAGAGTACTGAAGAATAACAATGCCAGTCTGGAGACTAAGGTGTGCCTGATCCACGACATGGTCTTTGCAATTACATGCTATGCATCAAGAATCTGGACAATGACTAGGGATGATAGAAGGAGAATTGATGCCTTTGAGCTGTGGTGCTGGAGAAGAGTATTGAATATACCATGGACTGCTAAGAGAACAAACAGGTTCACCTTAGTGAGGCTGAAGCCAGACTGCTCCTTGAAGGCAAAGATTCTGAGCCTCTGTCTGACATACTTGCATGTTGCAAGGAGGGACCCGTTCTTGGAAAGGGACATTATGCTTGGGAGGGTGGAAGGATAGCACCGGAGGGGCCGACCCTCAGTGACTGGGGTAATGGGGGTAGGTGAGTCAGAGACAATAAAGTTGGCACAGGATAGAGCAGAGTTTAAGGCTGTTATACATAGGGTCACTATGAATCTCAGGTGACTTGACTGCACATAACAACAACAACAACATCCACTCTGGTTCTAAATATTTTCACTTAAAAAGAAAGTGGAAAAATAGCTCTAATTCTTTTCCTTTACAATAATCTCCTGAGCCCTACTAACTACTAATTTTTCCAAGAAGCCACTTTTGATTTTGTTGGGTTTTTAACTTCACTTTGCTTTACTTTTATATTGATTTTTTCTTCCTTATTATTTCCTTTCTTCTACTTTTTTTATTTAATTTGTTTTTTTGTTTCCTGGCTTCCTGACATGATAATTTAGATCACTGATTATGATCTATTTCTGCTTTTGTAACATGTGCATTTAGAAACATAAATTTGGCTATAAATAAGAGCTATATGTTTCCATCTAAGCACTGCTTTGACGGGGTTTAGCTGATTTCCTTTTATTTTGCTTTCATTAACATTCAATTAAAATATTTAAAGATGTTATTTGTGGTTTTTGCTTTGGCCAATATTTGTTGTTATGTAAAATGGAATTGAGTAAACTCTTATGACAGACCTGTTCCATAGGATGGTTTTGACTGCAATATTAAAAGATTTTATAAGGGTGCTATTTTGTTAGATCTCTTGTCTATGTGGCTCAAAGAGTTTGCTAATGGGCTCTTTCTCAAATGTGAAGATATACACCTAGTTGACTGTATATACCAACGTCGTTGGAAGATACACACTTAATTTTTAAAAAAATTAAATTGTTAGCTGCTCCCCGGTCGACTCATAATAACCCTATGAACAATAGATGGAAACCCTGCGCTATCTGTGCTTCTGCACAATATCCTCCACATGTTGTGGTCACTGTCTCAATGCACATAATTTAAAGTTAATTTTAAATGGTTAGGTTAAAACAGAAATTCTTCTCTCTATGCACACTGTTATTTCTACCCTTACCATTTAAGGTTCCTGTCAAATTGAAAGTCACTGCCACCAAGTGTGAACCAACTCATAGCTGACCTTCCAGTGGGCTTTCAGAGGCAATAAATTGTCCTGGGGGTGACTGCTGGATTAGAACCGTTAGAGAAGGGCCACCTTTGGATTAGCAGAACAACTCTCTATGAATTGTACCGCCATAGCTCACTATAACACTGGTGCTTTTTCTTTCTTTTCTTTTTTTAGTCAGCTCTGCGAAACATGATCATCTCCTCACTTCTTGGACTTTGTAGCCAGTGTGTCTTGCTTAGACCCTTTTGACCAATTGAGGGTAGACAGTGCCGCCTGTCTACCTTAACGTTGGAACTGTCAATACTAAGTCTCCCAGAGGAGAGAAAGAGTTCAAACGGGAGGGGGGGGGGGGGGGAGGGGTTTGTGCGGGGAGAAGGGTGCAACAATGAATAAATGGAATCCCAAAATCTCTGTAGATGTTCATTGAAATGAAAAATAAACAACCTAAATTAATAAAAAAAAAGAAGTCTTAGTCAAATGTCCAACCACAAACAAATGGATTGAGAAATGATGGCACATTCACACAATGGAATACTATGCAGCATGCAGGAGCAATGATTTTGTAAATTATGACCTAACTTGGGAGAGACTGGAGAGCATTATGCTGAGGGAACTAACTCAGTTTCTCAAGGATAAATATTGTATAAGACCGTTATTGTAGAACGAGTATAAGGATCCAGGAGGGGTGGGAGAGGCTGCAAGTAGAGGAATGTGGATGTACAGGGGGAAGAGGGGATTAATCATTGTTGGGCTGTACTGTTTGATGGGAGGAGGGAAATGAAAAGAATTTGTTCGAATTTGTATTCGACTTTCATAAATAAACTAGTGAAAAAAGTCAACTTGGGGAGGGGGAAGGAAGACAGAGAGGGGTCAAATGTGCAACAATGAATGAATGAAAAACTAATTTTTCTGTAAACTTTTGTTAAGATGACAATTAAAATAAAGAATTTAAAGAAAATACAATAAAATAGTGTTTTAAAAAAAGGAAAAAAAGAAGTCTTAGTCTGGAGAGGAAGTAAAGCTTTAAAAAAAAGGTAAAACTAATTTTCTTTGTTTCCAGCCTATGAGACCAAGAAGTGCAATAAAACAAGCAAGAGAATGATTTTGGAAGCTGGAAATAATATAATGGAAATTGACTGTGCTGATGTTTTCAAAGAAACCACAGCAAGTAAGTGCACGGACCGCCGTGGCATCTGGTTCACTCTCATTTCTTGGTGACTGGAATGGACTGTAGCTGCCCTCTAGTGCTGTCGCAGTAGAAATACTGTGAGTGAGTGGTTTTTTTTTTTAATTTTTATTTTATTATTTTGTGTGTGTGTACCGTCAAATCAGATCTGACTGGTACAGGAGGAGATTGTCCCTCCTTCTCCAGCAGAGCATCTGGTGGATTCGAACCGTGCACCTCTGGGATTGCAGTGCAGCTTCTTGCCACTAGGCCACCAGAGCTCCCCGAGTGAGTGGTTTTAAGAAAGAAAGTTTTCTCTTTCTCACAGTTGGAAGGAAAGAAGTTCAAACTCAGGTGCAACTCTGAAGAAAGTGTTGTTCTCTCTTTTGGCTCTAGAGGAAGAGCCTTGTCTTTTGTCCAAGCTTTTGGTTTTTGTTCGATCTCATGGGGTGTGAAATGTCTCTTTCATATGCTTGTTTTCTTTTTTATACCTTAAAATAGAATGAGTTAAGAGTCATTCTACTAATGATTTAATTGTTATGTATTATCACAATGACTATGCAAGGGCATTAAACAACATGAGTTAAAAAATACTGTGGAATAAATCTTAAAAAAGCAAAGTCTCGGAGCACGCCATTGAGCTAATGTGGAACGTGTCCATAGATCAAGGAAAGCAGGAAGAGAACTATGAGGAGGAAGTGAGAAAAGTGCAATAATATTTGGGAATTGTAATTAACTATATAAAGAACAAAATGTGGCACAGCAAAAACTTTCTCCAATTGTGTGAAAAGAAAGCCCATAACTTGGCAAAAAACCACATCCATTTAGTAACGTTGCTATGAGTCACAGGTGACTTGATGGCACATAACAACAATGACAACAACAATCACATTTCAGACAAGGTTCTAATAATTAAAGTTTAGAGATTACTACAGGGCCTCCACACACACACACACACAAAAAAGACTGATAACTCAATCACAAAATGGGCAAAAGACAAAAAAACTCTTCTCAAAGGAGGAGATTTGGATGGCTAACAAACACATGAAGAAATGTTCAAAATTGCTGGAAGTCAGAACAACACTGAACTACTACCTCCCACAGCAACAGGAACAAAGTTGAACAAAACAGCTAACTCTTCAACTTGGAACTCTCATGCACTCCTGGTGGGGTGGTAAAATGGTTCAACTACTTCAGAGGGAAGTTTGATGTTTCCACAAAAAAACTGAGCTTAGAAATCTTGTATGACTCTGCAATCATCCTGCAAGTAATAGGTTGTTACGTTGTTGTTGTTGATTGCCATCGAGTTGAGCATGACTCATAACAACCCTATGAACAAAAGACCTGAAGCCTTTCTATAATCATTGTCATTTCTCAAAGTTCAGAGTTTCCAGAGGCTGTTGTTTAGGAAGTGGATGCCACTTCTGCTTAGTAATGCATCACAAGGAAATTAGTAATGTTATTCACAATAGTGAGAAAATTAAAGCAGCCCAAATTCCCATCAACAAATGGGTTGGATTATTTAAGTAATTGTGGTACATTCACACAAAGAAAGCACTAAGAAGGAATGATTGTGTAAAATATTATATAATACGGAAGAGTCTAGAAAGCATTATTCTGAGCGAAATAACGCAAGTCACAAACACCGCATAAGACCACTATTATGAAAATAAGAGGATAACTGAGCAAGATATCCATTATATTCAAAAGGGGAGAATGAGGACAGAACAAGAGGGCAGGGGGAAATCACTAGGCTAGCAGAGGTTAGGGAACTGGTGAGGAGTGAAGGAACAGGAAAGATGCAATGAGGACTTGAAGAGACGGGATGATAACAGGCATGTTGTTGTTGTTGTTGTTAAATGCTGTCGAGTCGTAGGCTACTCATAGTGACTTTATGAACGAAAGTCCTCAACACTTGCATGTGTGACTTTCATCCTTTCTCCAGGTTCATAGGGTTTCCGGAGGCAAGCTATTTAAAAAAGCGGATGCCACTCTTGCTTCCAAGCTTGTTTTAACCAGGGAGCACCACCAAACACTGTCCACCGTGGGTAACCGTTATTGCATTTGACATATCAGTGTCACAGCGTTCAGCTTCACAGGACCACAGGTTACCTCTGTACAGCAAGTGGACACACCAGGGCTATACAACCTAGAAGAATGTTTGACCAGCAACAATTTAAAACGGGTCTTAGGGCCGTGGATTAGTCACCCACTTTTGGCTTGGTAGCATTGCTTTCAGTCCACTAGGCCAACTGGTCTCTCTCTGTGTTGTTAAGTGCCGTCAAGTTGTAGGCCACTCATAGTGACTCTAGGAACCGAAGTCCTCAACACTTACGTGTGTGACTTTCATCCTTTCTCCAGGTTCATAGGGTTTCTGGAGGCAAGCTATAAGGAACAGGAAAGATGCAATGAGGACTTGAAGAGATGGGATGATAAGAGGGATAGAACAATAAATAGTATTTATATAAAATACAATACAGAAATGATTTTCTAAAACATAATGTACATCAATGAAACATAATACATATGAATGATTGCATATAAACCAATAAAAAATTTAAAGAAGAATGTTATTATAAGAAGCATAGTAATTTACCATAATAAAGTATTAGTTAAACTAAAAAAAAAACCCAACCCAACCATCACAAAACATGATGAATGAATTAAAAAAGCAGTTGATCTTGTAAACTCTCTCTCAAATTAAAATTTTCCTAAGTATCAAAAGAAACAACCTTGCTTGCTGAAATTGAAGACTTGAAGTACTTACTGATGAAGATCATAGACTATATATGGCCTTTGTTGTTGTTGTTGTTGTTGTTGACTGCCTTTGAGTCAAGCACAACTCATAGTAACCCTATGAACAAAAGGCCCTAAGCCTTTCTATAACTACTGACATTTATCGAAGTTCATAGAGTTTCCGGAAGCATGTTGTTTAGGAAGTGGATGCCACTCCTCCTTCGGGCTTAGACTCAGTATCAAGGAAAACAATCTTCACAACTAGACCAGTCACCAGTGTCACGACAAATGAGATAAGACTGAACTTGCCAAAGATTACATTTTGCTTAGATGTACAGTGTCTGTGGAAGGAGCAGTCAGGAAATCAACTGATGTGTTGAATTGGGCACATATACAGGAAAGGACCTCTTTAAAGCTCAGAAAACAATGATAAGATTTTAAGATCTATCATACTCCTCTGTCAACCTACAGTATAGGATAAGGTACAGATCTATAGTACATAGGGTTGTTGTGTCATACTCCACTTAACAGCACCTAACAACAACAACAAAGACAACAACATATGCATGTGAAAGTTGTACAATAGATAAGAAAGAGCAATTTATGGCTGTGAATTGTGGCACTGGCAAAGAATACTGAATACACCATAGATTGCCAAGAGAACAAAATTGTCTTCAGGAGTAAGAAGAATGCAGTTGGCACTTCACTAAAGAAGATATTCAGATGGCAAACAAACACATGAAGAAATGTTCAAAATCAAAACCACTATGAGATATCATCTCACCCCAGTAAGAATATAAAAAAATTTAACAGAACAGCAAGCAACAAATGCTGATGAGGTTGTGGAGAAACTGGAACACTTACTCACTGTTGATGGAAGTGTAAACTGGTGTGAACACTGTGGAAGGCTGTATGGCACTTTCTCAGAAAGTTGCAAATAGAGATACCGTTTGACCCAGCAATTCCACTACTGGGAATATACCCCAAAGAGACCAGAACTGACATCCAAGAAGATATATGTACACCCAGGTCTATTGCTGCTTTGTTCACAATAGCAAAAAGTTGGAAACAACGTAAGTGCCCATCAGCAAACAGATGGATAGAGAAGCTGTGGTATATTCACACAACGGAATACTATGCAGCATTGAAAAACAAGGAACTCATGAAATATTATGCCAAATGGATGACCCTGGAGGACATTAAGCTGAGTGAAATATCTCAGTCACAAAAGGACAAATATTGCATAAGGTTGGTGTTGTAAAACAGTACTGACATCAGGGTTGAGGGAAGACAGAGAACGAGGGGAAGAATGATGTGTACTGCATTGAAACAGATGAGGGAGAGAACTGTTTAAGAGGGATATATGAATGGGTATTCTTGTCATTACAGAAGTCCAGAGTGAAGGCTGCATAGTGGAATGGACTTGGGGGGAGGGATTGCATAAAAATGAAAGAATTTTTCTTTTTTCTTTTCAAGGGGAAGAGTGAATTGGGTGTGAGGGGCTGGGCAGGGAGAAAAGTGCAACAATGAATGACTAGAAAACCTAAGTCTCTGTAAATTTTCATTAAAATTAATAAAAAGAAAGAATGCAATTGGGAAGAAGAAGAATGGTGAATCTTCATCGCACATACCTTTGAGCATATAATCAGGAGGGGCTAGTCCCTGGACAAGGACATCAGGCTGGACCAAGTAAAGTGAGGTGAAAAAGAAGACCCTCAATGCAGTGTATTGGTATGGTGGCTGCAACAGTGGATTGTGGTACATCAGCTATAGGAAAGATGGAACAGACGCATGCAGAGGGCTGCTAGGAGGTGGAACCAACTCATGGTACTTCACAACTCACATAAGGTTCAGAGACCCTTGGCACACTTCCTTAAAAAGGGCAAGTTAATGCATGCTCTGTTTCCCATGATGGCTTTAAAGTACAACTACTTGAGTGAGCTCTCAACAGTGGTAGATGGTCATTGCTTTCCATGTTTTTTCCATTGGGAAATGTTTATCATTGCTGTTGATATGGTAAGACTAGAGAGTTATATGGAGGGGTTTTTTTTCATTCCAGAAATACAAATATTTCCCCCTCCTTTTTTTCTTTTTCAATTTATTATTAATTTCAATGTAAATTTACAGAGACTTTGGATTTCTATTCATTCATTGTTGCACTTTTCTCCCTTCCCAACCCCCCCCC